AAGCTGAGGGGAGACCTTATTATGGCATACAAGTCTCTAAAGGGTGGGTTGAAGGAGGATGGAGCCAGACTCTTTTCAGTGGTTCCCAGTGACAGGACAAGGGGCAATGGGCACAAGTTGGAACATAGGAAGTTCCATTCAAATACACGGAAAAACTTCTTTACGGTGAGGGTGACAGAGCACTGGCACAGGCTGCCCAGGGAGGTTGTGGAGTCCCCTTCTCTGGAGATTTTCAAAACCCGCCTGGATGCAGTCCTGAGTAATGTGCTCTAGGCAATCCTGCTTTAGCAGGGGAGTTGGACTAGATGATCTCTAGAGGTCCCTTCCAACTCTGAAAATTCCGTGATTCTGTGATTTGTATGGAGAGATTTAAATTGTCAAGGAGTTTGGGATGGAGGGAGTTGTCTTTAGGGCTTGTTTTTTTTCATTATTTTTTTTTTTTTAAGGTGGTGTAGGATGTGTGTCCTGGTTCCGGCAGGGATGGGGTTAATTTCCCCAAGGAGCCGGCAGGGGGCGGGTATTCCATCCCACGTGACCCGTGCCCGGGCTATAAGAGGCGGTCGACGGGGAGGGGAGAGCAGTCGCCACTCGGGGGTGGGCTGTGGCCCATTGGGTCCGGTTGGTGCACGGTGGTACTTTAGTCACGTCTTTATATTCCTTTATCGTTGTTACTGTTTTTCTCTTCCCATTTGCTATTCTGTTAAACTGCACTATCAACCCAGGAATTTTGCGTTTTTCTGCCGTTTTTTCCCCATGGCTGTGGGAGTTGAGCGAGTGGCCGCATGGTTCTTTGTTGCCGGCTGAGGCCAAACCACGACATGTGGGAAATGGTGGAAAGGTATCTGCATTAAAGGCATGGAGCTGTGGGTCACTGCTGTCAGTATCAACAATCAAGTCCTTCCTTTTCTCTTCCCTCCAAATAGTGTCAAGCTGGATGTTCTTCTGCTGAAGAACATCTTATGTAGAGGGTGTATGTCTTTACGTTCTGTTCTGGGACTTCAGGAACAGTTTTTGGTTTTTCTCAGTGCCTATAGTGGCTATAAATTTCTGTGTGGTGGTAGCAGAAACTCTCAGATTTTGCTCTATTTGAGGAGCAGGACACATGGTGAGGCAAAGGTAATTAACCAGAACTGTCAGCAGTACTGGCAGTTCTTCAGGTTGTAATTAAGCTAATACGGTTTCAAGCAGCTGCTGTAGCGGTCCCACTGGTCTTGGTATCCTTTCTGCTGCTGCTGTGCCAGCTATAGGTAACTAGTGCTTCTTCCCAAAGAAGTTTTCTGCTGGTTTGGTTCTTTGTCACTATGTCTGAACAGAGTCTGGTGAGTGCCAAGCTCTGGGGAAGAAGGGTGAGAGGAGATTCCATTTTTTTTATTTTTTTTTTTCCCCATGTTTGTTAAAAGACCACCTTCACTGAGATCCCACTAGTGCTGCTCTGAAAACCTGAGCAGCCCTGCCCTTATCCAGGCTAGTGAAGTGGAGGATTAAATAACACTCTTCTGTCGTTAAGCATCATTAACTATTAAAACTCTCTTTTTGCCTGTCATAGCCATGATTGTCTAGTGCCTGTGAAGGAATATTCCCAGCTGTTTAAAAGTCACTCTCAGTGCCACTTCACATTGCACTCTAATAATCCAAATATAAGCATAACCATCTACACCATTTAAGTGTAAAACCAGCGATTTGTTCTACTCATACTAGCATTTTTTTTAATCTTGTCAACTGTAAGCATCCCCTTTCTATAGGCACCCTAACCCTTCTTACCTAGGGAGAGGGAGTTTCCATGTCGCTTTTATCCTGCCTATTTTTATATGGCATTCCCTTCCCAAATCTTGACAGTTGTGCACCACTGGCCATGCCTCAGCTGCCACGTTCTGCTGTTTGTCCCCTGCCTCTTATGCCATGGTCTTTCTTTGCTCCCTTGATATTTCACAGCATGGAGAAACAGAGGGATTCTGTCTGTCAGGGTGTTTAATGATTTTAAGAATAATGTAGATGAGAAACTTAACAGAGAATAATTCTTTCGGATGTTTATTGGGCTTCCTAACAATTGAAATCTATTCCAAAGCCTGTTGTATGTAACTCTTTGTATGCATTTGTGTGGTTTTTTTCACTTGTTTGCAACTGTTTCTGCTTTTAATTCACCATCAAAAGCAGTGTATTTTAAACCCATGTGCAAGTCATAGTGCTGTTACTGGCACAGATACACACTCTTCAAAACTGGAGCATCTCACTTAAGAAATAAGTTTAGATGAACTGTATTTTACACTGTTAAATTTTTGTCTGCAAAATGTATCTTCCAAAATCATCTTGAAGCTATGAAAACTTTTGTATAAGCAAGGCTTCTAGCACTGGCTAAGGTTTTTTTAAAAAAAAAAAAAAAACAAAACCCAAACCCAAAAAATCCCCAAATCAAAAAAGCAAACTAGAGCCATGGCATGGTTTTGAGCCTTGGTGCACTGCTGGCTGTACTGTTAACTCTGAACCTGGCAGAAGTCACCCGTTCTGGGTGATGTGGAGGTGAAGTGAAGCCTTGCTGTGACATTTTGCCACAGAACCAAAACATGGGTCTTGACACATTTCAGTTATTAGTATTTTTCCCCATTCATGCTTTCTTCTGTGCAGAGGCAGGAGTGTGTACCAAGAGGACAGCACAATGAAGAAGTTTGTGCCTGAGCTCTCGAAATGGAGGCTTGGGCCAGCATCTTCACTGGGAGAATTTCAGTTCTCTCTGTAATAACACTAACCCTTCTTGTTTAGACAGCCATAGCCTCCTCACTTGACATCACATCATTATTAAAGTGCTTTTGATTCCTTATTTAATACCACATCAGATTAAAGGTTGTACTTATTTTTATGTCAGCAGGAGCAGTTATAGGGACAGTTTGACTTTGGTGATTAGTGACCTCTTGTAGTCACTGCTTTGCAGTGTAAATATCCCCAGTGATTTTAGAGGAGGCTCTTAGCAAGGTCAGCTGCAATGAGAGGAAACTGCCCACTTGTTTTACTCTCTTCTCACTGTGTGACAATAGGACTAGCTGGCCAGAGGGGTGAAGCAAGGTGCTGCTCACTGTATGCTTTTGGAAAGTACTTGTTCTGTTCTTGGGAGCACTCAAAAGACCTAGAGGAAACAAATACACATTATCAGTTACAAAATTATAAAGTTGCTAAAGACTACTTTTTTTTTAAAGATGTTTCTTAGTTCAAAGTGTATATTACAGTCCTGATTGACCGGCCTGGCTGAAAATATATGTGCTCGTTAATAGAGCTTTGGAGTAATTCTTAAATATAGTTGGGAACTGTAGTTGCGTCAGAGAAAGTATATCAAAAGAAAGATGTATTCAGGCAGATAATGTAGTTAAAATGTTATAAGATAAGTTTCAGTAGCAGAGTGGGCTAAGATATTTATCATGCTTAAGATGAATTTATATGTATAAACTGGTGTTGAATCTTAAAGATAACTTTGGATGTGATGACAGGCAATTCTCTCAGCTTCAGCTATTCTCAGATGTTAAAATCTATTGCATGAAATTAGCACTGGATGCTAATCAGCATCCTGTTTCGTGACTTATCTAATAGTCTAAATGACTTCAAGCATTCCATGTAAGGGCAACACCGCACTTTGTCTACCATTTTTTGGGAAATGGTTGTGAAAACAAATGTAATTCTTAAAGCTGAAAGAGTCTGGGGTTTTTTGTTTGGTTGATTGGTTTTTAATGGAGAGCTGGATACCGGTTATCTAGTTTGACCTCCTCTGTAACACAGAATTTGATCAGATTAAATATGAGTTTGAAGGAATTATCTAGTTAAAATGTATTTTACTGAGCTGTTCCTGTTTAGGATAATATTTTCAGCTTCACTGGACAACTAACAGGTACAACAAATGTAACTTAGATCAACAGAAAGTAGTGTACTTATCAAAAATTAAATTTACCCATGACATTTGGGGTGGTGTTATTATATGGTGTTGCACAGAAAATAGTTGCAAGTGTTCAAGAGTTCTTTTTCTCCAGCTCATTAAAAAAGGGAATTTATATTTAAGTATGCATAAAAGGGGCAGTCTAGATTAAGTAAAGTTCACTTGAGAAGAATTATTTGTACACAGTGTTTTTAATAGGTTTGTTTTTCCTCATAGCGGAAGCGATTCTGGAATGCAGAATGCACACACTTCCCAGATGAGCCACCCCTACAGCTGAAAAAATCAAATGTCAGGACATCAGTGGCTGCTACTTCGATTTCCAATGCATGGCTTAGGTGTGGGGATGGTTTTCAGAGCACTTCAGTGCTGGAGGTAAAATGCTGGCTCGCTTAATGGTGTAAGAAAGAGATGCGAACTGACAGTTAAACCAATTTCCATGCTTGACAGAATTATAAGATGTTGGCCTTTTTTGTGTTGTTTCCCAATTAACAGCATATTGTTTTAACTGTCAAAGTAGACAAAATTGAAAGCAAGGTTACATAAGGGCATTGTCTTAACTTGTTAGTGTAATTTTCTAAGCATATGTTAATATGTTCTAGATAGCACTTATCACTTGGAAAATTTCAATAATACTCTGAAGGATAGGAAAGTAATTTGACATTTTGGATGGAGTACTGCATTTCCTGAAAACATGGAACAAAAAGACTCTAGATAGCATTGAAGATTTTTTGCTAGATCTAAAGAGTATGTTTGCGATAATGAATTCACTGTAGAAAATTGTGCTTTTTGATGACCTTGCATATGTGGATTTTGGTGTAGATGCTCTTTTGGATGATATATCCAATTATGCTTAATTGTTTTGTGTGTGTTGGTCTTGTTGGTCTTGAACTGAGATGTTCAGCCAGCTCTGAGTGACAAGTGCTGCGTGCTGAAAATCATCTTCATACAAGTTGCTTTTCTGTTTCTTCTTCTGGTACTGAGTAGTCACAGTGTCACATAGCTTGTGGGATTTAATAAAATCAGAGTCAGGGCCACTGAGTGCTTCTTTCTGTAACCTTTGAATAGGGCACATGCTTTATCAGGCATGCTCTTCATGCCCACTTTTGACATTTTACTGCTGAAAATGCTGGCTGTTTTTCTTCACAAGGTCAGATGTGATTCCTGTCATAGTCACAGTAAGTTTCTGTTTTCCAAAACAATGAAAATTCAGTTTTTATGTTACTGTTCTCATGCTTTATTCCTTCACTCTTTATATTGCAGTCTAGTAGAAGATAGAAAAATTAATTTGAAATTGTGCCACTAACTTGTGGTTGGGTGAGCAATAACAGTTTTGAGTATATTACTACATGTTAAAATTGTCTTTAATGCCTTGGTGATTAAATATCTCTCTGTCTCTTTTTAATATAGCCTTTGAGACCTACTGATAAGAAATCCAGGATTAAGAAGCATCTTGGACCACTGTTAACATCTGCTGAAAGTGCAGCAGGTATGTTGTAACTATTTCATGTTAGTGTTGTCAGAAGACTGACACTTTGTTTTGCCAAAATACTGGTTGCTTTGTAATCAGAAGCTAATTTTGATGAGAGACACAGTTGTGATGCTATTGTGATTGGGCTCCTTTATTCACCTAGTGAGTGAGTGCCAGCAATATATTCTGCAAAGCTGCAGGCACTTCAGCTATTGCCCTTGAAGAGATGAAAGGAGCATCACTAATGCTGTATATAGTGTGTGTTCTAGCTGGGGCAGAATATTTAAATTCTTCACATTTTTAAGAGGAGGGAATGAAAAACAACGCTTAGCTGTCTAGATAGAAGGTGAAATAATTCTCTCTTCTGCTAGAGACAGACAAGCGGGTGTGAGAGAAAACATACATTTTCTAAGTATAAGCAATAGATAGAAAAACAGAATTTTGTCAACCTCCTGCTTTCACAGTCTTCTATATGTACTGGAGTCTGTTTAATATTGTGATTAAAAAAAGAACTCTAGGTATAATAAAGAGGAGAAGAAGGATTTATTGACTCCCTCCAGTTCTTTCGCTTTTGGAGTCCAGAGGAAAGGAAGGAAAGAGGGGGCAGTGACTTCTTCAGTCTTTGTATTTCTTCTTGCTCCAGCAGCTGTGCTGCCTCTGTTGGAGTTAAGTGACCTACTGGGTGCCTCTTCCCTACCTTTTGGTGTTCAAAGTCGTGCTTTTCCAGATTTCTGAAAAGAACCTCTGTGTGTTGCAGGAGGACATATGGTTGTGTTTCTCTCTTTTAGGCCCTCACACCTAATTCCAAATTCCCAGTAATTGTCAACTTCCCATTTACCTAAAATACTTTAGTTGTTGTAGGAAGTGGAAAGCTCTGCCTTCCTATGATTGCTAATTTGGCATCCTCCACTGCTAAGCATTAATCCTTTTCTCCTTGCTCTTGTTATTAAAAATGATGGAGAAAGGTACTTTGAATTTAAATGTCTCACTTCAAAAACACAATAGCTATTCTTCATTACTCCTGAAAAGTTTAAAATTTCTTTCTCTCGGGACAAAACTGGAAAGTCATCTCTACTGATGGCATACTTTTATTCATTTGTTATTCATTGTTTAAAGTTAGAGAAATACGAAACTCGTAATTCTAAGGACAGTTTAAGGACAGATCCCGGACAGGCTGGATCGATGGGCCAAGACCAATGGTATGAGGTTTGACAAGGCAAAGTGCCGGGCCCTGCACATGGGTCACAACAGCCCCATGAAGCCCTACAGGCTTGGGGAAGAGTGGCTGGAAAGCTGCTTGGTGGAAAAGGACCCAGGGGTGTTGGTTGACAGCCGGCTGAATATGAGCCAGCAGTGTGCCCAGGTGGCCAAGAAGGCCAATGGCATCCTGGCTTGTATTGGGAATAGTATGGTGAGCAGGACTACAGAAGTGATTGTTCCACCGTACTCGGCACTGGTGAGGCCCCACCTCGAGTACTATGTGTGTTCAGTTTTGCGCCCCTCACTACAAGAAAGACATTGAGGTGCTGGAGTGTGTCCAGAGAAGGGCAACGAAGCTGGTGAGGGGTCTGGAGAACAAGTCTTATGAGGCGCAGCTGAGAGAACTGGGGTTGTTTAGCCTGGAGAAAAGGAGGCTGAGGGGAGACTTTATTGCTTGCTACAACTACCTGAAAGGAGGTAGTAGAGAGGTGGGGGTTGGTCTCTTCTCCCAAGTAACAAGTGATAGAACACGAGGAAAAGGCCTCCGGTTGGGCCAGGGTAGGTTTAGGATGCATATTAGGAAAAATTTCTTCACCCAAAGGGTTATCAAACATTGGAAGAGGCTGCCCTGGGAAGTGGTTGAATCCCCATCCCTGGAGGAATTTAAAAGATGGGTAGATGTGGTGCTTAGGGACGTGGTTTAGTGGTGGTTTTGGCAGTGTTAGGTTAACGGCTGGACTTGATGGTCCCTTCCAACCCACACGATTCTATGATTCTTTATTTAAACCACTTACTATTTTGAAAGGGCGCATGCAGGAGCATTAGCACTGTGTGTAGAGGACTGTCAGACAGTCATTACTTGTCCTCACTCTGCTGAAGGGCTGATTGAGAGCCTCATTGCATAAAATGAATTGTTAGCACTTATTGTGGAGAACCAAAATGAAAATAATGCATGTATGTATAAGAAATATGTGTGAGTTAATGCTCCAGTATTGGTGTCTGGTGACAGAACTGATAATTTTTTTCCAGTTCAAGAACAATATAGTTTAATTTTTACAAATTTTAAATTTAACGCTATCACATTTGTGTAACAATCTAACACTTTACAATTCTTTTTAATAGGATCTGCTGCTGCTGAAAGCCCTAAGGAAGCTGAGGACATAATATGGACCTCTAGTGGCAGTGATTTTTCAGATCATGAAAATAAAACATTGATTCCAAGGTTACACAGCAAAAAAAGTCATGCTTCTAAAACAGAGGAATCACCTAGCAGAGATGATTTATTGTTAGAGGACAGCAGTAGTCAAGGTAAGTTCAAACGCAAGCAGATTTGTCAAGAAACCTGTCAACTTCAAGTGCTGTAATGAAAATTCTTTGAGGTCATTTGGACAAAATGACATGATCTAATTCTATTTCAGTTATGTCAGTTGGTGTTTTTTTTATCAATTTCATCTGAGTATGGAATAAGCTTTTAGTATAAATTCTGTACAAAAATTTTAAACGTTGGAGTAAAGTAGCATAGTTGGGTAGGTTATACGTCAGGTAAAGTGTGTCTGTTCATTTCAATATATTACAGTTTATTTTTACCACTTCCTTCTCTGCGCTGTGGTGCAGATACTGGGGTTGTGAACAGCTTTCTCTGCCTGCCCTGTTCTACTGATCATACTGCTGTCTGCATCTACTGACTAGAAGTGGCAGACTTTGCAGCTGCAGATAGCATCATGTTCCGTGGTGTGAGTTTTCATTTCGGTACACAGTATTCCTTGTTCCCCCTGTTAGCTGTATTGTGCAAACAACCATGAGTTTTGTTCTTCGGACTCGCTTTCTAATTCATGGAGCACGGCATGACAGAGGGGAGAGAAATTGATTAAAAAGTGTAGCTGAAGACAGAAAAATCTTTACTTGTGTGCTCTATTACATAAACATTAATTAGGATAATGTTTAATTTGCATTAGAACTTGTTAGGTGGTATTTTCAATGTGACTACTTCCAGAAAAATAAATCAAGTTGGCTTTATAATACTTCAGCTGGATCTGAAGTATTAAAACTAGACTTCACATCCTGGATATCTGGCAAAGTGTTCAAACACAACCGTGAGTTGATTTTCATGCATGTTTCTGTCATTGATTTAACACTGTCATTGATATATCTGATGGTCATCTTTTGTAATGCTAGTAATTTTCTTTTCTTACTTTTGAAATGGAAGGATTGTCTACTTTCTAGACTGCGATATAATACTCACCAGGAATCTTTATGACCTACCATTAATATAATTCTATTGCAGTTGTCTCCTGCAAGTATATCCTGCAGGTTTTAATCTTTAATTCTCTTTTTTTAAGAAACAATACACAGACTTATTTTTACTCTTGTAAGATAGCAAAATTTGGTTTCTCTGTGTAAATGAAGAAGCCCTGGTGCATTATGTATCTGCTTGAAGGTACTGAGGAAATGCAATAATTTCCTGTTTTTCTTCTAAACCCCAAAAATATTGAAAACAGTCATTGAAAGCAGTGGGGAATAAAAGAACTGTCATTTCCACGTTTTTTTTCAAGTAACCATCATATACACTAATTATAGTATTGTACACATGTATGTGTGTGCATATATAGGGACAGTTGTAAGTATGGGGATAATAACTGACAAAATATTTTTAAGTGACTTGCCCTTTCATGTGAAATTCACCTTCAGAAGCAGTGCTAGTACTTGAGCATGACAGGATAAAACTGATTCTTGTATCTTATTAAGGAATTTATACTGCTGTCACAAATTGCATGCAGCTTGCCACACAGCTTCAAGAGAGACCTCTTTGTGCTACCTGGTCACTGATGTCTCTGTTTAAAACTTCTGATGAAGTTTTCTCATAGTTAGAAACAGAAATGCATTCATGTGTGTGGAAAAAACGGGCAACACAAGCTGTGTGTTTATTTGCCTGGGTGACTTCAGAGTTTGGAAGTTCCGTGAAGAAACTAGTGATTTAGACTATGGTAGCACTGCCAAGTCCAGAAGGTACTGCCACAGTTCCACGGATCTGTACAGATGCCTGGAGTGTTCTGCAGGTGCCTCCTTTCTCTGCTGCCTCTCTCTTGTACATGACTCTTCTGATGTTAGAAATGTGACATTTACAAAAGCAAAAAAGCAAAACCAAAAATGTTCACATCTCTTCTCTAAACATGCTCATTTATGCAAAATACAATGAGATTCTCCCTCTCAGTACCTTCTGGCACTTGGACCTGAAGGGTGGTGGGGCTGCTAGAGCAGCTCAGGCTTCTACTGCCTTCAGGAGATCCTCAAAGGTATGAGTGGACTTTTGGAGTTGCATTAAACACCACCTGGTCATGAGGATGGTGGAAGGAGTGTTCTGAATCTCCATCTTTGTTTATTGCCACTTTGTTGTGGGTTCTTTTGAAAAAACTCTTGTCTTTTCTCGTTCCTGTTTCTATTAATTTATCCTAAACGGCCCTCTGTCTGATGTACTTAGAGGTTTGATTTGCAGACCTGTATTTAGCCATGGTGTTTCAGGAGGTGACCATTTCAACTAGCTTTTTCATTTCTCTGTGGGGATTACCACTTATAGCAGATATTAACTTACACCAAACTTTCAGCTTTTCCAGGTCACTGAGGTATTTGCTTAGAACAGTTAATTCTGAACAAGTGCATTTGGAATGCAGTTGGGTCAAAGAAAACCCTAACAAAAACCTAGAAAAACTAACAGTAACTAAATTGAAAATCTACCCACCTAAGCAGTTAAATATACTGCCTCCTTATGGGCAGTACTTTGAAATCTTTTTTTTAATGTAATTCTTATCTCTTTCTTCACAGAAGCTTCTATTGTCTGCTGGTAGGATTTAGCTTTTATGAGAGACAGGATTGCAAAATAGGTAAATGTAAAGAGCAGTTGAACATACGTAAAAAATAACTTTGCACTTTTTCCCAAGTGAAGGATAATTGTAGTATTACTCTGTTTGACTTCATGCTTATGAGTAATATATGGTGATTAAGAATAAATCTTTTTACAACTTTTTTTTTTTATTTTAGATGAATCAGAGTTCATTGATTGGGAGAAGGATAGTGATTCTACCAATAGGTGTGATGGATCAGAAAAAGATGACAGCTCACTGGAGATATCGGATTCGGACTCTTGCACAAATCTTAATTCTCTGTCTGTCAAAGAGAAGAATGATGACCTTTGTAAGGTAAGAAACTGTTTCAAGTTTAAAAAAAGAAAAAAGCTTCTACTGTAATTATGGAGTGTGTTCATGTTTGATTGCATTTAATTTGGAGGAACGTGAGGTTTTTGCTTACTACTCTTCTCCAGAAGTAATTCTGCACATAAGAATTTCAAGGCATTTTCTATGACTGCCAAACCTCAAAACCAAGCCGCGCCCCACACATAGAGCTTGGTAGTGTGGTCATTGAATCACAGGGATGACTGGGGCAGGAAGACACCCCTGGAGATCATCTAGTCAAACACCTCTGCGCAAAGCAGGGTCAGATGGAGCCAGTTGCTCAGGGGTATGTCCAGTGGGGTTTTGAGTACATCCAAGGATGGAGATTCCACAAGCTCTCTGGGCAACCTGTGCTTGGTCACCCTCACAGTACGGAATTTTGTTTTTACATTTAAAGTGAATTTCTTGTATTTCAATGTGTGCAAAAAGGTGATCAAGTGGGTAGGTTTCTCACCAGAGATGTGATGATCTGGATTCTCTACAGCCCCTGGCTGCCTGATGCAAGTTGATGTCCAAATTCCCTGTAATGTGGTGGGTGAGACAATTATCTATTTCTTTTCAGTACTTGGAGAGCTTGACTACATAAAATCCAGGTATTGTGACTAGAGCGTGTTCTGAAAATGATGATAAGATGAGGGACTAATTGCAGGATTCCCTGTACTGCTGAGAAGTGATGAGGACTGAAGGACTCAGGAAGGAGGCACCAGTAAATACTGAATCATACCAGCTAAGATAAACAACCACAGAATCACAGAATAGTCAGGGTTGGAAGGGACCTCTGGAGATCATCTAGTCCCACTGTCCCACCAGAGCAGGGTCACCTACAACAGGTTGCACAGGACGGCATCCAGGCGGGTTTTGAATGTCTCCAGAGTGGGAGACTCCACAACCTCTCTGGGCAGCCTGTTCCAGTGCTGCACTACCCTCAAAGTAAAGAAGTTCCTCCTCATGTCAAGATGGAACTTCCTATGTTCAAGTTTGCCCGTTACCTCTCATCCTATCACTGGGCAACACTGACAAAAGACTGCTCCCATCCCCCTGGCACCCTCCCTTTAAGTATTTGTAAGCATTAATAAGATCCCCCCCTCAATCTTTTCTGTAGACTAAAGAGACCCAAGTCCCTCAGCCTTTCTTCATATGAGAGATGTTCCAATCCCCTAATCATCTTCGTTGCCCTTTGCTGGACCCTCTCCAGCAGTTCCCCGTCTTTCTTGAACTGGGGAGCCCAGAACTGGACACAGTACTCCAGATGCGGCCTCCCCAGGGCAGAGTAGAGGGGGAGGAAACCAACCTGTAGAAAATACAATAGTGTTAATAAAGAATCAAGTATAGAATAGATGGCAGAAATTCTGATCTTTTGTATCTTAGAGCGAAATGACTTGTACAAAAAGTCTCTAGATTTGATGCCATCCCAGGCAGAGTTAACATTCAACCTCCGGTGCTGCGGGGCTGCATCC